CCTAGATAAATTCTTTGGAAGAAAAAGCACGGCACTTAAATGACAATAGCTCAGAACACTGAATTAAGCACACTATAATCCACATAAAATCATAACACGCAGTCAAATAAATAATGATAATAACAAGGATAATAGCGGCGCTAATAACAATAATAGCAACAATTAGTGTGGATATAGGAGGTTTAACATAAAAAAGAACAGAGAAGTTGCCAGCTGCATCAGAGGCGAAAAGTAACGTAACAACGAAGCAGGTGCTAATTAAAATACCAATTAAATATATTATCAATCAAGAATTTTTATTTGTAAAGTTTTAATAAAATTAAAAATTTACAGACTAACTTCGAGGAACACGATATAGCAAATAACGTCTACAGTCGAGATCGTGGAAATTTGTGTTAATTAGCTTAGCGAAGAATCCATGATGATCGAATGCTCGTCCGTCGTCCCATGTCAACTCACCGTTGCGATACGTTAAACCAATTAATAATGGTGTGTTATGCTTTTTCTTTTCCAAATTATCATAATCTTTAACAGTGATTTATTAGGATTAAAATTATCTCCGCCGCTTCATGGATCCCAGGTTGTCGGGTATGATGGAAGATTTCAAAGTTCTGAAACTTGGATTTTCATATTGATTGAAAATCCTAAAAATTTTAAAAGCTCAAGAAAAAACTATCTCCTTATTCGCTATACAGGAGAAGTGGGTGCATTCGAAAGTATTCCTCGGGTCGCAAGTATTAATTGCAGCTATCCACTGCCGGAACTATCGATAGCTTCTGTTTCGAGGATTTCTTACAAGTATGCTAGTGGCGGATATGACTTCCCGGCATGCAGTGGAAACGAATGAACAAATCATAGAGGGATTGGTTATCACAGTGGCAGAGTTGGACCCTTAACCTTCTGCACACAAGCGGCGTTGCTTACCCACACTTGCCTTTCGAAAAGCTTCATAAAAATTCTGGAAAAAAACCTAACAAAAAAGTATCCAGTCCAAATTCCTAGAAAAGTTTAAAAAATTCTATCCATGGTAGTACCCATTTTGTAGTACCGTTCCTCATTTTGCATCAGATCAAAAGGCTGAAAATATGACTCACAAAGATGAGTTTGCTTGAGGTAATCGAATTCATCTTTGTTTCTAACTGACACGCTCGAAATGTTCCTTGTTTTCGGTGAATTTTGCAGTTTGCAAAACTCACTGTCCGCATTTTCGATATTGCTCATGCTCTCATATTTTCCCTCCGCCTGCAGCTATTGCCCATATTTGAATTTAATTTAAAATGATTTACATGTTAATTTGCTCGATTAGCAATCGTTCGCGAGTTCTTTTCCTCAAATGCATTTACTTTTGAAATCAAAATTGTTGGCTTCATTAATATTAAAGGATTTAAAATGGTTCCACACAGAATCTCTCAGGCGATGATGAGCGCCTCATCCGGGTTTTTGGAAGGCCCAGCATTCGGGACTTAGTGGCGATACTCTCAATACACACCAGGGATATGTGAAAAGCAGGCACAGGCTGACCACCAAGCGGTGCATATTGGTCAAAGCAACCGGAAAAGGAGGCAGCCATATGGTGGGGGAACCAGACAGGTGGTCAGTGAGTAAAAACCTCATCAACCTGCTGTTCCGAAACTCTTGGGGGAAAAAACCATCGTGAGCTTTGCCAGCACGTACTACTGGTCAGTCTATCTACGAAAAGTGCCTAGTTTCTTAAAAAAGGTGGACTATTAGGAAGGTTCTGTCTTTGATATTTGCATTTTTTTTTTT